TGCAGTTGAGACATCTCAGGTTGAATTTAATGAGTAAGAAGAAAAGATATATTCAGTACCTGTTACCTGCATTTATCAGTCATGTACAATCCATAGCTTTTTAATTTGTAGCTCCACCTCTTTTGTTCTTTAAGCTTCAGCATTATGTGGTACTGTCCTAATAAAGTATCCTCTCAAAAAAAAAAAAAAGACACCATGGGTCATTTTTAGTTCATTTGATACAGGCTACAGTAAACTGGGGGAAAAAATGAAGATGGGGCTGTGTATGCTGCCTGACTCCTTGTTCTTGTTGCTGAAGATAATATTTTATGACCCAGGCTGTACGTCTGGAGTCGTCACATTTTCCAGAACTAATTAGAGACCGGTTAAAAAGCCCCACATGTGTAATAGAGAAGAATCTAAAACAAAAGTGCTCTAAAACTTTTACAAATCACTCTACATTTCCCAGTTTCCTCCTTGATGGGTTAAAATCTGAGATGGATATTAATGCCAACACTGTTTGCATGTTCATTTCGACATCCTATGTAAAGCAAAGTCTCCTGGCTTCACTCACCTACTTTCCCATTGGCTGGTGTGGCTGGCCTCTGCCACGCTGCTTCTAATAATACCTGGGTTGATGGATGCTATGGTTACTGTTACCTGGAGGAGGAAAGCTGTCATTGCAGCTTTTCTGTGATAGTGGAAATAAGATTGTTGTAGAGGTGGCTAAGGTTCTGAGACATATTTAGCACTGCTGTGTTGACGTCAGCTCGGGGTGATGAGATGCAGAGATCTTATTTATAGAACCTGTTGGAACAATGCAATGCTCCTCAAAAGTCACGAACCGCTAAAACTGTAAATGCATTTCACACTTAAATTACCCACATGCCTTTTTTTNTGTTAGGATTTTGTTCAACACATTAAAAACAATTTGATTCCTTGAGAACACCTCACTCTTGACGTTCACCTTCAGACTTTAAAATCTGTGCTATTTTCTCATTTCTCCCCTCTTGGGGTTGTAGGAGGTGAGCATCCAGTTTGTTATTTCCGGCCTCCTCCATGTTTACCAGCGGATGATTGACCGTGAAGAAGAGACACGCCTGTTTGTGACACATCCTGGAGAGCTCGTTGGTCACCTCGCCGTCCTGACCGGAGAGCCCCTCATATTCACCGTTAGAGCCCAGCGAGACTGCAGCTTCCTCTCCATTTCCAAAACCCACTTCTATGAGTCAGTGGACACATCCACACACCTAACCATGCAAGATAGAAGTGTACTGTTCTGGCCTTATAAAACATACTTTGCCTCAGAAAATTATTCTTTTTTTGAGTAATCAGAATGATCTGTGAGTTTTCTTTTAACTCCTTTTTTTGTTTGTTTGTTCCTCAGGATAATGCGCGTGGAGCCGAAAGTCGTGCTGAATGTTGCTCACACGGTGGTGAAGAGGATGTCCTCCTTTGTCAGACAGATAGACTTTGCTCTTGACTGGATGGCTGTGGAAGCTGGCAGAGCTGTTTACAGGTATCCTACTGATGACCTTGCAGATCTTGGTCAAATAGTTTTTTTTTAAAACACTGATGCAAGTTAACAATGAAGGTGACTAAATTCATAAATTTTATTTTGGTTCAGAGACTTGTTTGCAGCTGAACTGAAGTTATCCGTATTATTTTCAGACAAGGAGAGAAATCGGACAGTACTTTCATTGTGTTGAGTGGTCGACTGCGCTCTGTGATCATGAAGGAGGATGGCAAGAAGGAGCTGATAGGAGAGTATGGACGTGGAGACCTGATTGGAGTGGTAAGAACCGTAATCGTCTACTGGATGTAGACTGTGGGTATAAGCCTGCTTTTGTCCATGTATTTCCTGGCGTTCTCCTCCCCTTCTGCTATGGGCGTTAGTGTTTTTTAAATCCCCTATGCGCTGGGAAAAAAGTTTTGACCAAAATTTGGATTGTGCAGTCCAA